TAGCGTTTAGTATGAAGGTTTAGGATGTAGGGAATACTTAAGCGGTTCTCAGGTTTTGCCATCTGAAAAAGACGGGGCTTGAAGGAGGGCTGCCTTTGCTTTGGCTTCGTTCTCAAGTTGGTCCACGTGAACCATATTCTGCCTGAGTAACCACTATTTGCTTACGAGAACCCCCAAGAATATCTAACCCTAAACCCTAAACCCTAAACCCTAAACCCTAAATACTGTGCCTGAGTAACCACTATTTGCTTACGAGAACCCTCAAGAATATATTAGTCCCTAAATGATAAGGAAGAAAATGGTCTTTTATTCTTATGATACACATATATGTGGAATCCCTAAATTGCCCTTGCAAGGAAGATTAGTGCTATTTTTTGGAGGGATTCTTACGCGATTAGTAGGTAAAGTCCTCTAAAACCCAGCGCAATGATGCAAAGGAAGGCGTCAGAAATCCAATGGCCCTATCGCGTGTATACCCTGAGCTAGAATTACACCCCCCAAACCCTAAACTGTGAACCCGACACTGTAATCCGACTTTTTCCCTGAGCCCTAAACCCTGAACCCTGGACCCCAAAGCCTCATGATGGTGACTTTCTCTAAGGTCGGGGCCCTTTTGGGGTCCTTACTATATAATTACAAGGCCCCTCTTATTTAGGGTACCCCACACTTTTGAGAGCTCACCCCTAAACCCTAAACACTGAACCCTAAACCCTAAACCCTAAACCCTAAACCTAACCCCTTTTGAGGAGCATCCGAGGCATGGGCCGCTCGCGTATCCTCGCGCCATACTGCGTGTTGCTGCCCAGCGGGAGCTGGCGTCGAGTCAGGGCATGCTGAGCTTGGCTTAGGGGTTGAGGGGTTGAGGGGTTGAGGGGTTGAGGGGTTGAGGGGTTGAGGGGTTGAGGGGTTGAGGGGTTGAGGGGTTGAGGGGTTGAGGGGTTTAGGGTTTAGGGTTTGGGGGTTTAGGGGGTTTAGGGGCTTTTGGGGTTGAAGGGGTTCGGGGGGGAAAAGGTTCAGGGGCACAGGGGTTTAGGGTTTAGGGAGGGGTTGAGGGGTTGAGGGTTTAGGGGTTGAGGGTTTGGGGGCTTAGGGGTTTGAGGGGTTGAGGGGTTGAGGGTTTAGGGGTTTAGGGCTTTAGGGTTTAGGGGTTTCGGGGTGTAGGGTGTAAGGTTTTTGGGCTTAAGGTGCTCGCCGCCGCAGTACGCCCATCATCCTAAACAGCTAAGGTGAAGCCTTTAAAACCTAAACCTTAAATCCCACACCAAAAGACCCCAAACCCTAGACGACAAGAACTCTGCGTTGTCAGTATTCCCGAAGCCGCCCGCCCCGAAGTCCAAACTCCACGGCCCCGAAGAACAAGAAGCCCCATTCCCCCCTTTAAGGCTTCCCTAAAAGCCTAAACCCGAACCCTAAACCCTAAACCCTAAACCCCAAACCCTAAACCCTAAACCCTCCGAGGCAAGTGAGGAACCCATTCAGGTGGACCGCGGAGCATTCGCAGATTCCTTGGAAGCCAGACCCTGAAACCCTAAACCCCTCGGCCCTGGTTTAGGGTCTAGGGTCTAGGGTTTAGGGTTTAGGGTTCAGGGTTTAGGGTTTAGGGCTAGGGAGTTGAAGGAGTTTGGGGTTTAAGGTTTTGGGGTTTGGGGTTTGAGGGCCTAGGGGTGAAATGCTGGCCTAGGCGAACCCTCAACTCAAGCGCGCGCTAACGCCCCACGTCACCCTCATCCTTAGAGGCCCGAAGCCCGTGCAGCCCAAAAACAAGCCCACAAACCGCGAACCCTAGACCCTAAACCCTAAACCCTAAACCCTAGACCCTAAACCCTAAACCCTAAGCCCTCAAGGCCCGAAAATCCCCAGCCCCTAAACCCCAAACCCCTGAAGGCAGAGAAGTCCGAGACGAAGAGTTGAGGGCTAAACCCTGAACCAAAGGGTCCATGTACCTAAATAGGGAATACTTGGGCCTTAAAGTATATCCTATTTAGGGACTTTTGGGCCCAAGTATATAATAATATGGTACATGGGCCCTTAGGGTGAACCTAAACCCTAAACCCCAAACCCTAAGCCCCCATAGGGCTCTTCGGGTCTGCCTTGAACACGGCGCTGGTGATGTTCCGGGCGTAAATGAAGAAGTGGGCCCCTCCCTCCTGGGTCCAAACGGTTGGGGTTTGGGGTTTGGGGGTTGGGGGTGGGGGTTTAGGGTTTAGGGTTTTGGGGGTTTTGGGGTTTAGGGTTTAGGTGTTGCAACCCCCCCGCCCCCCAAGGATCCATGCGACTATGCAGTACACACTTGGGCTAAGTTCATGTCGGGGCACGGGAACTGGACTATTGCTCTCACGCCCCGGACATGCATGCGAGATCCTCATTCTCACAACGCGATGCAAAGCAAAAGCTGTGCTTCGCAGAAGCATCCGCATCACTACAGCACGCGAGCAAAACCACTCGAGGTTGGAACACTTCTTGGTAGCCCAGTAACCATACTATTATGAGGGCACCCTTCTTTGGGTTACTTTACAAAGGAACCTTGAACCAACAAAAAAGGGTACAGGGTACCCCTGGGCTACCAAGACTTCGTCTCTGCCCTGCAAAGCTGGAACGGGCGCTGGAACGGGCGCAGGGATCCCTAAGGATCCGTGTACCTGTATAGTACGTTCTTGGAGGGGGGGGTTCCTTTAGAGTAGCTTCAGGGCCCAAGTATATGATCTGTAGGTACATGGATCCTTTGGGTATTGGGAACGGGAAAAGGAACTCCGCGCTTGGAGCCAGCTTGATTGGGCCCCCTTGCAGGTTTTAGAGGTCAGGGTTATAGCCTTAGCTTAGGGTTAGGGTTTAGGGTTTAGGGTTTTAGGGTTTTAGGGTTTTAGGGTTTAGGGTTTAGGGTTTAGGGTTTAGGGTTTAGGGTTTAGGGTTTAGGGTTTAGGGTTTAGGGTTTAGGGTTTAGGGTTTAGGGTTTAGGGTTTAGGGTTTAGGGCCCAATTTTCGGGTTTAGGAAAACCCTAAACCCTGCGCTCCATCCTGGAACCTGAAGAGCAGATGTCATTGCAATAGTGCTGCTTACCTGCCGGACATGAAAGCGTCAAGAGACAGACCGCGGCGCACTGCCGATATCACTAACCATGACAAGGTCCACAAAAGCTGAAGATGAAAAGCAAGAACAGAAACAATAGCCATACTGCTCTCCTAGACCCAAGAGTAACCTAGGAACAAAAATGAAGGGTGCCCTTTTTGGCTTGATGGGGCTTATAAGAGGACTAAACCCTAAACAAAGGGAGGAATAAGGGCCTACTCTGGGCCTTGCCAATAGTACTAGTGGTTTAACTAGTGGTTTAGGGTTTAGGGTTTAGGGTTTAGGGTTAGGGTTTAGGGTTTAGGGTTTAGTAGGGTTTAGGGGTTTAGGGTTTAGGGTTTAGGGTTTAGGGTTTCGGGTTTCGGGTTTAGGGTTTAGGGTTTAGGGTTTAGGGTTTACAACAGTACTAACACAAACAACAAGATCACGGCGACCCGATCGGGAAGCCAAGGGCCGCGAGCTTGCTCCCCGCTCATTTCGGTCCCATACTACATAGGGTTTAGGGTTTAGGGATTAGGGTTTAGGGTCGTGGGTTTATCAGGTTTCGGGAGGGGTCTCCGCCCCCGGACAAGCGGGATGCGGTGAGAACGGCACAGGCCGCTTCCGTCCTCGTGCCTAGGACGTCTGGGCGGTGCAAATACAAATGGGGGTTTACGAACACTGGGGACCCCTAAAAGAGGCCCCCAAACAGTAGGATTCCCTTATGTTGAGGGACCCCAATAAGGCAGCGCCTCATATCGCAAACCCCCAAATGGGCTGCCTAGCGCTAGGCAATGGGAGTCCTTCATCGTTCACGGTGACATGCTACTGCTTTTCTATAGCCTTATATAATATGCGCCCTTAAAGGGTACCCCTTATATACCCCTTATAAGATATACCCTCCACAAATTTAAGGGCCCATACGTCAGAACCCTTTCAAGGAGGTTCGGGACCTTCTCCCTCAGTTTTAGGGTTCAGGGTTTAGGGTTTAGGGTTTAGGGTTTAGGGTGATCTAAGGACGTCCCTCTTCAGTCGCTCGGGGGCCCATGATATCCCTATCGCGCACACGCCTAAACCTTCCCAAAGAGCCCAATATCCTCTAACTAGGGAATATTGCTTAATTGATATAGGGATCCTTACTATGATTTAAGCTCTATTCCTTAATTAAGGGGTATTGGGCTCTTTGGGTTAAGGGGAAAAAGTTCAAGGACTCAAACTGCCGCACTCGCATTCCAAATCGGGCTGGAACGAGGGGGTGGGCCTTGAGTCTGAAGTGCTACAGCCTTAGGCCGTTTAGGGTTTAGTTTAGGGCTTGGGGTTTAGGCATCGGAGGTTTGACATTCCATGTGTGCCGCAGGCTTTGCCAGGCTCAAGCCCCCCTTCTTTCTGCACACTACTGGCGCACGAAGCGAAGTCTCCTTAAACAGCAATCTGGTATGCAGTACCTAAATCCTAAACCCTAAGCCCTAAACCCTAAACTAGACCCAAACCCTATACCCTGAAACCATAGAAGCAGCCAATCCTTTCACCCCATCTGAAATGCCAAAACGACTGGCCAACTTGAGGGGGAGAAAGGGCTCGGGAACTGTAGCCAAAAGCCTCCACGTCTCCAGCCAGCAGGTGCTCGTATCTCGCTGACTTGCGTTTAGCATTCTCGGGTTTAGGGTGTCGGGTTTAGGGTAAATTTACAAGGGTGTAGGGCTTTTGTTCACACTGGAGGCGACATGACAAGTGGATTGAATAGCACGGCCAGGTACTTTGGGTACCTAATGTGCATTTCCCAACATAGGTGTACCACTAAAATACCCCCAAAATACGATAATCTGTATTCTAGGAACCTCCAACAAGGTACCCCCCCATTTTCGGAAACCCCCACATGAACCTAGCAGTTGGGATCAAATTGCAAGCCCTACAAGGTAATGTGGACCACAAGAATCGTTCCGATTCTTGGGTCCTAAGACCTAAACCCTAAGCCCTGTCCCCACGTCGTTGCACCCTGCCCAAAGGGGACCCGCCTTCCATTCTCCAGAAGGATCGGCTTCAACCGGTCCGGCACACGAGGATGTAAGATGGGGCTGTCGGTATACTTGGCAAGGAGCTGCTCCAGATTACGCATCTGTGTGTTTGCATGCGCAACCAGAGCCACAGCTGGCCCAGCGCCAGCAAGGAGCGCAGTTTTATTTGGGCAAGACTCCAGCGAGCATGGCAGATGCATGTCGTGGAAGTAGCCGCGGAACGCGAGGGCAGCTGCTGACGTGGTGAAGTTGATGAACGCGTACCCCAAGCAACGGCCATCCTTGTGCCGAATGGGGAGGTACAAGAAATCCACCTCCTCAAGGCACCGATGTGCTTCCAGGAGATCACACAACATGCTTCGAGTGAAATTCTTGGGAATGTTGCGCAGCACCATCGACGTCTGCCCGCACATCTCAGATGAAAAGGCCGGACTAGGCATCGCAGGGATCGCACACTTGCCTCGTGGATAGGAGGAAGCCCTTTTCCTGGCTCCGTCCGACGTGGTGATGTGCAAAAACGTGTTTTTGACGACGAGGTTGCCGCCCATCATTTGCCAGGGTTCGTCCATGGCGAAAAGCTGTCACTAGAGGCCCCTAACTAACTGCGACCGCGGGGGGAGAGAAGCGGCGCTCCGGTCACTCCTAATGTTGCAACATATATCTATATAGAAACATACTTATATGCAAACTTGAAACACACATACAACCTCCATGCATACACATAAGTATATATATATATATATGTATACAATGTATGTATGTATGCAGTTGTGGATCTCTTGCTGACAAGACGATCATGCTGACCAGACGAAAGGAAACAACGGCTTGGGCCCTGAGCCCCGCCCAGTTTGTGCAGTAGGACACGGCCCGAAACCCTATACCTCTACTGTTTCGGGTTTAGGGTTTAGGGTTCAGGGTTTACGACACCTTGGACCCTTAAGGTTGTATGCTTAGGTTTCGGGGACCCTGTCCAAAGATCCTTGAGGTAGTATATGGGATATATTGGGAGTATATTCAGGGGAGGTACGAGTCTTACTCCATGAGGAAAAGCCTAAACCCTGTAAACCTTATGAACCCTACAAACCCCATACACCCTATAAATTCAATAAACCCTGCAAAGCCTGTAAAACCCCATAAAGCCTATAAACCCCATAAACTCGATAGACCTTACACACCTTTGAAGCCCTGCTAACCTTATGAAGCCTAATGAACCCCTTGCATAAGCACCATGTTGAAAAAACACAAACACACCCCTTAACCTATGAACGGAGAATAGAAGGAAGGACTTAACCATACCCCTTAATTTCTTGAAAGGGTATGCCCAAGGGGTATGTTGAATGTATTTCCTAGATATGAAAGAAGCCACAAAACCTTATGAACGCACTATGAAAACCCTAAATCATAAGCTTCAGACAGGGACCCCCGCCCCGAGGATCCATGCGACGAAGTAGTATATACTTGGGCCTTACATGCGTTCCTATATAGTAGCTTTAGGGCACAAGTACATAGTAGATAGGCACATGTGCTAAACCCCAAACCTGGAGACCCTAAACCCTTATAAGCCGTATAAACCCTACCTACTCTAAAAAGCCAAAAACCCTATCAACCCAACAAACCTTCATGAGCCCTATAAACCCTATGAACCCTATAAACCCCAAAAAACCTATAAGCCCTACAAACCCTGCAACCCTTCTACAAAGCCTACTAACCCGGTAAATCGCATAAACCTTGTGAACCCTACAAACCCTATTGACCCTATTAACCCTACAAACCCTTAACCCTCACCCTCATGTTCTTAAACTTAAGCTCCTACAAGCCCCACAAACCCCGTCAACCCCATGAACCCTATGAGCCCTGTAAACCCAATAAACCCTTAAAAAGCCCTATAAACCCTTTGAACCCTACAAACCCTACTAACCCTATAAACGCATCCTATAAGCCCTACAAACCCTACAGTCCACAAATCCTGTAAAACCCTATAAACCCCATAAACCCGATAAGCCCGATAAGCCCGATAAACCCGACAAACCCGATAGACCCTACACCCTGAACCCCAAACCCTAAACCATAAAATCCTTTGGCACATGGATCCTTGACACAACCCTAAGCCCTTTTGGGGGTTGGCTACTTATACAAGGGAATTTAGGACCCACAATAGGGCAATACGGTACCCCTCAACTACCAAGCCCTCTGTCTTCCCTGCACTTCTAGAGAAACATTAACCTAAACCCTAAACCCTAAACCCCATACAGCGCTGCGCCCGAAGCTTCTTTACAGCTAACTGTCTTAAAAAAGGTTTTCGAAGGAATTAGGGTTTCGGGTTTGGGGTTTGGGGTTTAGGGTTTCGGGTTGAGGCTTTAGTCCAAAGTCCCTATATAGGAAGTACTTTCAGGCCAAAGCATTCTCGATTTAGGTACACGGACCCTTAGGGTCAACACTAAAACCCTAAACCCTAACCCCGAAACCCTAAAGCATGTAAACCCATTGCAAGTCCCTAAACCCTAAACCCTAAACCCTAAACCCTAAACCCTAAACCCTAAACCCTAAACCCTAAACCCTAAACCCTAAACCCTAAACCCTAAACCCTACTTTCACGAACCTTGGCACGAACCTTGGGCTGCGGCAATGGTCGCGTTGTCCTGGTCTTCTGGAGGCCAATCGACACCCACAGGCTTTGTCATCACCTGCTTCCAGAGGACAGCAGGTTGGAGGGTTTTTTTCTGCGTGGGGCGTAGGGTTAGGGTTCAGAGGGTTTCTAGAGGGTTTCTAGGTTTCTAGAGTTTCTAGGGTTTCTAGGCTTTCTAGGGTTTCTAGGGTTTATAGGGTTTATAGGGTTTTCCGAGAAACCAAGGGTTTCTAGGGTTTAGGTTCTGGGTTACACCCATAACTTGAGGCTAGAGGCTTGAGAAGGGTTCTGGGGGCCCAGGTCTTCCAGGCACAACATCAAAGCCCTGAGCACCTTGTTCCTCGAACCCATCTCTACTATCATTGCTATACTACACACTATACATACTATGCCTTACTTAGCAAGAATAACTTAGGAATAAGCAAGGTTAACTTTACTATTCCTACTAGATAAGGAAGCCCCAAAAGTTTAATTCAACTAGTAGCTGAGTAAGTAGAAGGGGGCCCGAAGCCCTTGAAGGGTATAGTATCTTAACTATCATTGCTCTCCATACCTTGGTAGGTGCTTAGGCCTCTTTAAGTGTTGGGCCACCCACATGGGCCCGGAACTATATATCCAATATTTCCTGAACTATATATACAAATTCTCAGAACTGTAAAAACAATTTTCGAGCAGATGATTTGAAATCGCTCCAGTCCGGAACCGCTCGGAACCATTCTGGACTCTGTATGAACCCGACGTTTATAAATAGTTCGGAACGGTCCCGAGCGGTTCCGGGCGAATTATAACCACCTCGGGGCTATTGTTGCGACTTTGACTTGAGCGATGGTGTCTCGCAGCACGGGTTACAAACAGTCCAGAACGGTTCCGAACGATTCTGGACGATGTATAACAGTTCGGCCAGTTTTATAAATAGTCCGGGGGTACTTTATACATAGTCCGGACACATGGCATCCTGTCCAACAGACCCATGCCAACAAAGAGGCCCATGCACCCACTAATCCCTGTAAATATATACACACACACTTTAGGGGTTAGGGTTTAGGCTTGTCCAGGGTTGAGTGGGTGCTATTTCCGGCAAACCCGAAGGATCCATGTGCCTAAAACAACTACTTGGGCCTGGAATGACTTCCTATTTAGGGACTTTGGGGCCCAAGTATAGAATAATGAGGTACAGACCCTTAGGTGTTATACAACCCAAAACCCACAACCCAAAACCAGGTAAACCCCCCTTGAATCCCCCTCCCTTGAGGACCCTACAATCCCTAGTAGAAACCCTATAAACCCCCCAAAACCCAGACTAAGGGACCAGGTATGATAGGGTTTAGGGTTTAGAGTTTAGGGTTTAGGGTTTAGGCTTTAGGGGTATAAGGGTTCCCTTACCTGCCAGGCCCAGAAGATGCAGGCTCGACGATCGCCCGGCTCCCAGAGCAGCTCGTAGCGGTACTTGCCTTGGCCAGGGCGCGAAGAACCTAAACCCTAAACCCTAAACCCTAAACCCTAAACCCTAAACCCTAAACCCTGAACCCTAAACCCTAAACCCTAAACCCTAAACCCTAAACCCTAAACCCTAAACCCTAAACCCGAAACCCTAACCCTAAACCCTAAACCCCAAACCCCAAACCCTAAACCTTTAACCCCAAGCCCTAAACCCTAAACCCTGAACCCTGTTCCCTGGGCTCTCCGGCGCACGTCCGTGGTCGTCAGGTTCTCGGGGGCCTTTGCTGCGACGGCAGACGTGCGGAGCCTGGGTGTCTGCTTTGGTTTTTGCTTCTTTGGTTTGGGGTTTAGGGTTTAGGGTTTCGGGTTTAGGGTCTTGAGGTTTTCTGAACGCTTTTCTGGGGATTTGGGTTGAGGGTTTAGGGCTTTCAATTTTTCTGAACGATTTTCTAGAGATTTGTCCTACAAACCCCAAACCCAAAACAAAAAACCTGTGCAACGTGTAGGGAACCCTCACCCCCTAAATCCCTGTTCGAACAAAACTCAACCCTATCAGTCCTCTCACCCCCAGAAGCCCTGCCTAAACCTTATAAGCCTTGAAAGACCCTAAACCCTAGCAATAAACCCTAAACCCCAAACCCTTCAAACCCTAAACCCTAACAGTAAACCCTAAACCCCAAGCCCTTCAAACCCCCAACCCCAAACCCCAACTCTAAACAGTCTTAACCCCCAACTCTAAAACCTAAACTCCAAACCCTAAACCCTAAATCACAAAAACCGAAACCCTAAACCCCAAACCCTGAAAACCTAGAAACGAAACCCTGAAACCAACCCCTAAACCCTAAACCCTGTACCCTACACCCCAAATCCTGACAGCCCAAAAACCCTCAACAAGTTGATAGAAAAGCCGGGGCCTAGTTCATGGCTGGAAGAGTATCAAACATGAAAGCGTCTATTCCTTGTTGTGATTAAGTACCCTTAACAATGCAAAATGCTATCCCACTATCCTAAATGCCCTAAACCCCAAACCCCAAACCCTACACCCAAAACCCTAAACCCCAGACCCCAAACCCCACACCCTAAACCCTAAACCCTAAACCCTAGCCCTAAACCCTAAACCCAAAACACCAAACCCCTCTAAGACGCTTAGAGAAAAAAAAAAGCCAGGGGTGGCCTCGAGGTTTTACGACATTAGGGGTACCTCCTTGGGGTCTTACTAAACGGGGGTCCTACTATTTGGTGTCTATCAAGGGGAGTCCTAAACCCTAAACCCTAAACCCTAAACCCTAAACCCTAAACCCTAAACCCTAAACCCTAAACCCTAAACCCTAAACCCTAAACCCTAAACCCCCGCCTCGAGGTTCCCATGAGGTAGTCGCTGTCAGCGTTGGGATCTTGGCCTGGTCTTGTTCGGTGGTGGAGGGATGAATCTTCCTTGGACCTTGGGGGTTTAGGGTTTAGGGCTAGGGTTTAGGGTTTAGGGTTTAGGGTATAGGGTTTAAT